GCGATTTGGCTACTGTAATTGCAGACAATAGGGTGTGACATGGCAAACGATTTGCAAGTCGCATAGCATGCAAATCGCATGCCAAGTCACACCCAATGTGACTGGAGTGTTAAGTGATTGGACCTGCAACACAATGGCCCTGTAACTGCGAGTAATGTGGTGCAGTGCTGTGGCATTTACGGAGTTAAAACAGGCAGGGAGGAGCTGACATATCACCTCCCCACCACCTGTCAAATCATCTCTGAAAAGCAATCCAACGTGAATCGCTGACATGATCTCATTGTGCCACGATGACTGACTACTGGCCAATGAAGATGGCTGAAGACCGGCACTCAGAAGAAGATGTTAGAGAGGGACAGTTGAAGGAAAGGTAAACACTTCCCTACCATGCTATAGCCGAATGATGGCATATGATGTCCTCCCAGAACACGCCCCTAGCAGTACGTTCCCGGTCCTGCCTGTAATCACTGAGTCCTTTGGACACAGCTGATCCCAGGAATGGTAAAAGGCCAATCACAGCGGCCTTCTACCATGTGATCAGCTGTGTCCAATCGCAGCTGATCACAATGTAAATACGCTTGCTGGTTATTGGTAGTACTTTCCTCACGCTGTCACAGCATGAGGTACTGCCGATAACCGGCAACTGTCAAAGGAGACATCTGCACTGATAATCAGGGCCCTGTAGTCCCAAAAGTGCCCATCAGTGCTGCCAAACTGTGCCTGTCAATGCCGCCAGTCAGTGCTGCCTACTGGTGCCCATCAGTGCCTCATCAATGCCTATCAGTGCCGCCTCATCAACACACATCAGTGAAGGAGAAAAATTACCTGTTTGCTAAATTTTATAACAGAAACAAAGAAAACCTTTTTTTTTTCAAAATAAATAACTCAGTGGAGATTAAATACCACCAAAAGAAAGCTCTATTTGTGTGAAAAACAATATAAAAATGTCATATGAGTACAGTGTTGCATGACTGCGCAATTGTCAAAGTACAACAGCGCTGAAAGCTGAAAATTGGCCTGCGCAGGAAGGGGGTGAACGTGCCCGGTAGGCAAGTGGGTAAATGGGCCTACCAGCTCCTGATCATCAGTCGTTGACTATAAGCTGTTGGTGACAGCTCAGTCGCAGGTCTAAGAGTGCTGTTGGAGTGTGCTCCAGAACTAGACAGCAACACGTACTGTATATGTGGCTGGATGTTCTCACACACCCTGCTGCTGCATATATGTAGAATACTATCATAAAGGGGTTAAAGTATAACTAAAGGCAATTTGTTCTTCATTTTGGATAGAATGGAGATAGATTAGAACCTCTGTCAGGTTTTCATTACTGTCTGTGTCCCTTGTTAGGAAGATTCATCCTCTTTATCCTGTTTACCATTATCGCCAAAAGTGAAGTAAAGAAAATCCGAAATTTTGGGTTGACATCAGAGCACTAATAGAAGGGAAATATTCCAAAGGAGGCGCTAGTTCTGGAATCCCTGGTGACAACTGGGGATTCCTTCTCACTTTCTGCTTGGCTCTGGGACAGGAAGTGAAGGGAAATCTTCCTAATGGGACACATTGGACAATGGAAACAAAATGAAAGGTTATAACCCTCTTTGATTGAAAAAAAAAAAAAAAAAAGTGGGCATGCCGTATAGAATTTATCCCCAAGTCCAATTGGATGAAGAGAACAACTGCCCTGACCTTCTTTATTAGGGATTTTTATCCACTGCTTAACCTCTTGGCGCTGGCCGCACGCAAACATGCGGCTTCCTGGCATGTGGGCCTTGACGCCAAGCGGCCTCACATTTGCGTGCAATTAAGAAAAACGTATGTGCTGAGAGCGCGCGCTCCCAACACACGTCTGGTACTCACGGAAAGGTCCCAATCTCCTCTTCCGATTGGGACCTTTCCCGATTATGTGAATGCTGTGACGGCGAATCACGGCTGTCACATGACCCTAAAACTCCACCCCACCAATGATCAGATTTGTCCTGACAACCACCCCTGCACAGCCATTCACTGGGAAGATCAGTGTGCTGCTGTTTCTCCTCTCCCAGCTCTTATGCAGCTGAGAACAAAGGGTATGTGATCACTTATAAAAAAAAAAAAAGGTGTATATAATGTTCTTTTTATATTTATACGCAAATGTTGTACCTTTCATTTCTATTTTAAACTGAATGAGTTGTTTTTCAAGTTGAGGGTTTACAATCACTTTACCTCATCCCATGAATCTATAGCCTTCATCCTTAACCCCTTGGTGCCGGCACCTCCTGGCCCTTTAAGGGTTTCAGAAGCCGGGAGGCGCCGGAACCAAGGGGTTAAAGATGAAGGCTATTAGTTCATGGGATGAGGTAAAGTGATTGTAAACCCTCACCTTGTAAAACAACCCATTCAGTTTAAAATAGAAATGAAAGGTACATTTGCGTATATATATAAAAAGAATATTATATACACCTTTTTTTTTTTTTTCATAAGTGATCACATACCCTTTGTTCTCAGCTGCATAAGAGCTGGGGGAGGAGAAACGGCAGTACACCGAGTGAATGGCTGTGCAGGGGTGGGTGTTGGGACAAGTCTGATCATTGGAGGAAAGTAGGCTGAGTTCCCAAACACTTACAGAACTGTCCATGTTGTGCTCTCATGCCAAGTGTAGTCAGTGTTTAACAGGAAAGCAGAGGGACTGTCAGGAACACCAGGTATTTCACACAAAGGAAGCAATGCAAAGAGAACAGGATACCTTTTATACAAGTACATGGTACTGCAGGCACATATAAGGAATAGGAAATATTGGGTTTACATATTCTATAGGCTGACAATGTACTTATGGGATACATGGAAACACTGCCATCTTGGAACTGTTCTGACCTGTATTACTGTGATTAACAAATTTCAACATTTCCAGTTTCAGAGCTGTCATTCCCTGGCTGCCACAGTCTGTGCTTGATTAGCTGTATTGGAGTGCAGGGGAGACATTGGGGGGCCTAATAGTCTCCATAATTAGGACCTGTCACTGCCAAAAGCACAAAATCATAGGGGTCTTGTTATCCTCCTTCTGATAGCATAAAAGTAAAATTAATAGAAAAGAAAAAAATAACAAGTGTAAAAAAAATAATAACTAGAAAAGCTACAATATCTGGGGAAATTGTGTGAAGTGTTCTTGCCTCCACCAGTAGTCTACAACTGCAGTGGGCGGAGTAACTGGGTGGAGTGGCTTGAGTAACTGTTGTGTGGTTGGAGTGGCTGGAGTAACTGTGAAAAGGTTGGACTGGGCGGAGTAACTATGGAGTGGGCAGAGTAACTTTTTAGTGGACCCTCGTACCGACGCGTTGCGCCACTCCCACCTCGTGACTTCATCAGGGTGACGTGGCGCAACGCGTTGGTACGAGGGGAGGAGCTTCCGGTGACGTCATTTTTGGTGTGGGGGCCATATTGGATCACCCTGTTGAGTACACCCATAGCATGTGGTAAAAAGCTGGAAAACTCGTGGGCAAATGTGAGTGTAATACTTATTGTCGTTTTAAATTTGATGCAATAAAAACCGGTTGCACTATGGAGGGTCTCTGTTTGTGTCTTATCATCATCCTGTGAGGAGCTGGCTGTTAGTCTGTTGGAGGCTGGAGACGTGAGGGGAAAGCCTGAGAGGGACCCATTCTGATCGGATCACTTGATCCTCAAAGCGTGTTGACCCTGTGGGGTCTAATGAAGGAGGTGAGGGGGTATTTTGGCTGGTAAAGGATTGGCACGTGTGTACCACGTATACGGCACATTATATATTCTTGCATGAAGAGTGAAGTGTGAGGATCATCACAAATTATCGTATTACTATTATTATATCATTTTGGACTTTTTGAATTGATTATTTGTTCACTAATTTTGTGCACCAGTATACATATTGTTTCACAATGTGCAAATAGAAATGTGTTTGTCACTTTTTTCACTAAATATTCCCCGTGAGGGAATTCACGTATGACACAACTATTTTATTATTTATGTATTGATTTATCACCGTGGATATATATATGTAGGGGATGTATATAGAGTTTGTGCATTTTAACACGTAATTTGTTAGTATTATTGGCGCTACACTATTTATTTTAATTGATCATTCACTTACTTGGGTATAAGTTTGGTGTCGGCAGCTTTTAAAGGATAGGATTCCATTTAAGCGCAGGAGGTTGTTTTTGGAATTTTTTGTTTTAAAAAATGTTATACCATAAATAATAAAATCAAAAAAGTAAAATCCCCCCGTCCCCTTGCGCAAAAGCAAATGTTTACATAGGTCATGCACATCTACGTAAACGGTGTTCGCACCACACAAGTGAGGTATTGCCGCAAACGTAATAATTCCAACACCAGACCTCCTGTGTAACGCTAAGCTATTAACACGTAAAAGGCTTTAAAAAAGTGTAATAACATAATAGAATTTAAAAAATTTTAAATACCCTTGCGCAAAAGCGAACGTTTACGTAGGTCCTGCACATATATGCAAATGGTGTTCGCACCACAAATATGAGGTATCGCCGCAAACATAATAATTCCAACACCAGACCTCCTGTGTAATGCTAAGCTATTAATCTGTAAAAGGCTTTTAAAGAGTCACCTATGGATAATTTATAGAATTTAATGTACCGTAATTTATCTCCATTCCATGAGTGTGCGCTACTCGGCGTAACATCATCTTTTATATTTTACCAAACAGTTGGATATTGTGTTTTTGTGCATTAAAATTTATTAAATGTATTTTTTCCTAAAAAATTGTTTGAAAAACTGCTGTGCAAATACTGTGTATAAAATATATATATGTATGTAAAATATATTGGTTTTGGCGGTAATTTTCAGGCAAAGAAAACCGTGATTTTTACATGTAGGAGAGAAGTGTCAGAATAGGCCTGGAGCTGAAGTGGTTACATTTGTTTCTTCTGTTCCATGTGACTTCTGTCACCCCTCCTCCACGCACGCCCTCCTCCTCCTGGAACAAGTTTCAGTTTCGTTTCTTCTGTTTTGTTGTCTCAGTTCTGTCACTGCGTCTTCCCCATAACAGCTTCCTCCTGTGGCTGTTACCTGCGTCCATTCTTTGTACAATGTCGAAAACTCTGAAGGAGCTGGATTCTATCAAGAGCAGTCTGAGCTGCAGCATCTGCTTTGAAATATTCAGCAGCCCTTTAAGTCTTCTTTGTGGACACACGTTCTGCCAGAAATGTATCCATGCGCACTGGGATTCCCCAATTCCTGTACCCGATACCTTCAACTGTCCTACCTGCAGGGAAAACTTTGCCCAGCGGCCAGAACCCCAAAAAAATGTTAGCCTGCAAAAGGTGGTGGACGATTATAAAGAACTGGAGCAGCAAAGGTTTCTGGTGGCAGCGGCACCAGAAAGTGGACCGAAGGGAGTTAAGACCGTGTGCCAGGACCACAATCAAGAATTGATTTCATATTGCTGCACAGAGAAACGGTGCATATGCTACAAGTGCATGATGAAACGCTGCCGCAATCATGATCTGCAGGAGATAGAAGAGCAAAGTGAGAAAGAGAGGGTGAGAGACCCACACAGACACTTCACAGCTACTTTTTTTTTTTTTTCTTTGGTGTTTGATAGAGCGGAGAAGAGACAAGTTTTTAATTAGCAGATTTCCATTCAAATCCTGTCTCAGTGACACCCGAACAATAAATGAGGGCGGAGATGGAGATAATGGGGATGGTTGGGTGGATCAACCCCCTCCCTGAGCATCTGTGGCACAGCATATGAGCTAGTGTTGGGGTGGCAGAGGTCTACAACGTAGAGAGGGCTATACTGAAGGGGTGAGCTGTATTGAGAAATAGAACTGTACTGAGGAAAAAATAGATCAAAAATAGCTGGACTGAGGAGGGGAGAGCTGGACTGACAAAATTAAACGTACTGACGGAAGATAATTGTATGGAGAAAAAGAGATGTACTGAGGGGGAAGGCTGTACTGACAGGTGTATGGAGTAGGGAGAGGTGTACAGAGTGGGGAGAGGTGTGCGGAGTGGGGATGGGGAGAGGTGTATGGAGTGGGGAGAGGTGTACAGAGTGGGGAGAAGTGTACAGAGTGGGGAGAGGTGTACAGGGTGGGGATGGGGAGAGGTGTATGGAGTGGGGAGAGGTGTACAGAGTGGGGAGAGGTGTGGGAGATGGGGAGAGGTGTACGGAGTGGGGAGAGGTGTACAGAGTGGGGAGAGGTGTGCGGAGTGGGGAGAGGTGTGCGGAGTGGGGAGAGGTGTACAGGGTGGGGATGGGGAGAGGTGTACGGAGTGGGGAGAGGTGTACAGAGTGGGGAGAGGTGTACAGAGTGGGGATGAGGAGAGGTGTACGGAGTGGGGGGGGAGAGGTGTACAGAGTGGGGATAGGGAGAGGTGTACAGAGTGGGGATGGGGAGAGGTGCACAGAGTGGGGATGGGGAAGGTGTACAGAGTGGGGAACTGGTGTACGGAGCGGGGAGAGGTGTGCTGATTAAAAGAGATGTACTGAAGGGAAGAGAAAGCTGTATGGGGGGGGCAAATGTATGGGGAAAAAAAAAAGAACTGTACTGAGAGGGGAGAGTTACTGATAAAAATAGCTGTACTGAGGGAAGAGAGTTATACTGAGGGAAGAGTTGTAGTGAGTGGGCATAAATGTAGTGAGCAGGAAGAGCTGTACTGGGAGGGAGAGGTGTAAAGAAAGTGGGAGAAACATACTGACAGGGAAGAACTGTGCTGAGGGAGAGGTGGAGATAGAACTCTCTTGAGGAGGGAGGAGCTCTACGGAGGAGGAGAGCTGTACAGGGGGGAAGGCATTACTGAGGGGTCAGAGCTGTATTGAGTGGGAAATTTTGCACTGAGGTAGCAGAGCTTTACTGAAGGGGGAGGGCGATACTGGGGGAAAATTCTCTGTTGTGGGAGGGATTCTGTAGCTAATGGGAGGGAATGTTTTGTTGTACCCTACTGACGGTGCATTTCACTCTCCTGACCCTTTCACTCTATATGTGATGCATTCTTGACCCCTTCACTGTGTGTTGCACACACCTGACCCCTGCACTCTGCTGGTCACACACTTCTGACCCTTGTACTCTATATGTTACATACTCTTGATCCCTGTACTCTGTATGTTACATACTCTTGATCCCTGTACTCTGTATGTTACATACTCTTGATCCCTGTACTCTGTATGTTACATACTCTTGATCCCTGTACTCTGTATGTTACATACTCTTGATCCCTGTACTCTGTATGTTTTGCACCCCTGACCTATGCTCTCTGCTTTCTGTTTGCTGTACTCTGTGTGATATGCACTCCTGCCCTTTGCACATTACAAACTTAACTCCTAACCCCTGCGATCTGTGTCTCAAGTAAGTATGATCCATGTGCTTTGTGTAACATGCACTCAAGTTTTTAGCCCCTTCCACTGTTCAAGCAATTTTGCCACATACACAGTTCCCCACTGCACGTGCCACCTACTTTATTCCTCTGGGTCCCTGAGCCTGATCCCCCCTCCCTCACCAGAAAAACAGCCCTAAATGAAGAACAATAGGTGTCATTGAAACAGAGAGACACAGGAAGCAATAAGAGCCCAAGAGAGCATCTATCTACTAGGGGTGCTCCAAAATTTCGGTGGCCAAAACGTTTTTGGCCGAAAACACCCCCATTGATATGAAAATAAGCACCGATACAGGTGGTGAAAATAACCCCGCCCCCTCGACGCTGTCGCCCCTCACCGCTCCCGCCACCTTCCGCCGCTCGGTTACCTGAGAAACCACCAAACGGTCCCAGTGCTGGGCATAGATATAAGTGAAGGAAAGATGGCCTCCACTCATCTCTATGCCCTTGGAGGACCGTAGCGATGTCACTTCCGGTTCCGGTTGTAAACAAGGCCATTTTTTTAAAGCACTAGCATGCTTGATCTAATGTTTTACATTGTAAATGAGAGGTGTGGGGTCTTATTGACCCCATATTTTTAAAGGGGACCTGTCACTAGATCAAGGGATGCTTTATTTGATCTAAAAGTGATGAAAATTTGTTTACATTAAATCAAAAAAACCCCACCGTTTAAAGTGCTCCAGTCCTCCTGTGCTCACATGTAGTGGTGAATGCATATGTAGGCATGTGAGTTATCACCATGAACATCAGAGCAAGAGCAATAATTCTAGCGCTAGGCCAACACTCTGTAACTACTAACCTGTAGAAATTTTTAAGTAGTACCCTAGTTTGACGCCGTTCTATGAGCGTGCGCAATTTTAAAGCATGACATGTTGGGTATCAATTTACTCTGCGTAACATCTTTCATATTTAAAAAAAAATTGGGGTATATATTGTGTTTTATTTTTAATCATTAAAGTGTATTTTGTTCCAAAAAAATTGTGTTTGAAAAAAATATTAATTTTTAAAAACTGTCCATTTCGGTTTCAGTTTTCAGCCAAGCGCATCTTGAATTCTCGGTTTTGGCACCAGAATTTTCATTTCGGTGCACCACTACTATCTACGGTTGCCAGCTCCTTCCTCTCCTTGCAAAATAGGAAAATGTATAGCATGTTTTAATGATGCCCTAAAATATAACAAAAAGTCCTATTAACGTGTATATAAAAAGGTAAAACTTTATTGTGTTCAATTTTGGATAGAATAGGGAAGGAATAGAATCTCTGTCAAGTTGTAATGCTCTCTGTGTCCCCAATGGCAAACCACTCGAGCAGTACCAGGACCAGTACCAGTGCCAGTGCTTTATATAGAAATTGCAGATTCTTGCAGGTATGGAAACTAGTTCCAAGCAAACACTGTGTGCGAGCATGGCTAGAGCATGGCGCCCTCCTAGTTTGCTAGGGGGAATTAGTGTTCAATTGATAGAGAGGAGGGCTGAGTAGTAGCCTGAGTGTGATAGAAGGTTAAATTGTGGTCAGGAGCTGAGAGGCTCTGCAGGCCAGCCCCTCTGGAATTTTCCCGCTGCTTTAGGGCTTTGGAGGAAGACCTAGAGACAGTAGGTGGATTGGAGGAGTGGCTGGTTGCACTCTTGAGGGATCCCAGCTTATCCCCAACAGAAGGCTTGGCAAGGGGCTGGGACACCCTTAAAAGTGCTGGAGCCTGCTCAGTTGCAGGAGAGTTCGGGTGGAAGCTAGTGAGGAAGAAGGCAGGAGGCTGTGAGGAGGCCCAGTGGGGCCTACCTGCAGGTCTGGAGCTGGAAAGGAGGAAAGCTCAGAGCTGACTGACCCCCAGATCGAGGACTGCCTGTATGGCAGGGAAGGAGCGGCCCTGCTGATAGGCCTGGTAGCAGCCACCGACCCACCAGTGGTACAGGAGAGGATCTGAGTGAGTACACCTACACACCCTGGGTGGATAGGGGAAGAAGCACTCTTGAGGGAAACCAGATTAACCACCTACTGTTCATCTTTTAAAGTGACAAAAACCGAATCCCCTGTTCAGGGATACCTCTAGATTGCTGGGTAAAGATGTAGGGTCTGGGGTGGCTAGCTCTCCAACAGAGACTGTGCTGCAGAGAAGGTTTGTAAATAGTTCCAGGAAGTTGTCCTCAGGTCCTTCAGTCCATCAGTCCTTCAGTCAGTGTCCTTGGGCATCCTGTACACCCCAAACCCTATCCTGGTTCAAATCCCCTAAATAAAACAACAACGCCAAAGATCAAGGACTGATTTCTGACTCTGGATCCAAGTCTTGGTGAAGATGTGTGATGCCTGGCTGTGCATGAATATAGTTGGACCCAAATCTTCTAGCGACTTCTAAGGGGGTAGTTCTGCATATGTAATTGTTCATATCAGAAGTTACATGTGATTAGGGCCTCTGACCAGTCCTGGTTGCAGACAGTTTGCATTAATGGCTGGTGGTTCTGGCTTAACACAAACTGGATCCAGCCAATCATTCAGTTTGTATGGAGCCACATCTGTACACAGCAACCTAATCACCTGTCTGCACGAATTCTTAACATACAGGACTGGGCGAGGCTCTTTAGAGCCAGACATTACAGTTAAAACCCCAGATCTCATAATAATGACTGGGAGCTGGGACTTTTAATTCCTGGTCATCTGATCACTGTGATAGCCTCTGATTAGCTATTACAGTGATCAGTCACTGTGCAGCCTGCCCATGTGTGGCATTTTTCTCTCCTTGCAGGGAAGAAAAATGTCAACAAACAAAAAGTGTGTAAAAAAAAAAAAAAATAATAATAAAAAAAATAAAAAAAAAAATTGCTAGATCAAGGTTTGGTGAAAAGGGTCAAAGGTCAGGGCCAGTTTTTTAGGACTTTTTTTATAAAAGCATTTTTTTAATTTAGTGTCAGCATGTTTTAGGTAGGAGAAAAAAAAAAGCAAAATGCGCACTATTGTTTTTGGGCCCTACTATGTGTACAAACAACAAATAATGTACACATATATGGTGTTGTTATAATTATCAGGAGCAGGAGAATTTATATTGGGTTGTTCTTTGGTGGTAAATTATGATAATAAGAAGGAATATGAAACTACATTATAAAAAATATATTTTTTTACTATTTTGGGCCAGTTTTCCTATGATAATAGAAAAAAATCAGGGGATAACCCATTACCATTAACCACTTGCCCTCTAAAGGATTCAACCCCCCCCCCCCCCTCCTGACCAGGTCATTTTTTGTGATACGGCGCTGAGTTACTTTAACTGGTAATTGCACAGTCATTCAACACTGCACTAAAATGAAATGTATGTTCCTTTTTCCCCCCTCACAAATAGAGCTTTCTTTCGGTGGTATTTAATCGCCTGTGCGTTTTCTATTTTTTGTGCTATAAACAAAAAAAGACTGACAATTCTGAAAAAAAAAAACAATATTTTTGACTTTTTGCTATTAAACATGTCTAGCAAAAAAAAAAAAAAAATCTAATTTCTTCATAAATTTACACCATAATGTATTCTGCTACATGTCTTTGCTAAAAAAAAATCCCAATACGTGTAAATGAATTGGTTTATTTGAAAGTTATAGCGTCTGAAAATGGCGGTATATATATTGGAATTTTTATTTTTTTTATACTAGTAATGGCGGCGATCAGCAACTTATAGCGGGACTGCGGCGGGCATTCTGACACTGGGGGGAACTGACTAACTGCCACTGGCATCCCCAGTGACACCAATACAGTGATCAGTGCTAATAAAAAGCACTGACACTGTACTAATGACACTGGGCAGGAAGAGGTTAACATCTGGGGCGATCAAAGGGTTAACTGTGTGCTGTTATACGTTATGTGCTGTGTGTGTTTTACTAGGGAAACATGCTGCTGTGTATTTCTGTGCTGTGCAGAGAAATACAAAGCAGCACGCTTGTTGCTTGCAGGAGAGAGACATGTGCTGTTTAGATACAGGTCTCTCCCCTGTCAGTTTTACTTAGCGATTGCCATGTGCCGGCGGAGAATCTCTAGCCGGGCCCGGTGATTGACATCCGTAGCTGCCAATGGTGGCACAGGAGGGCGGCATGTGCCCACTACCCAGAAATACAAATCACATATATATACATGACTTTGTGCAGCCCTGCGACAGTATTTCTGCTATTGGGCGGATGGCAAGTGGTTAACCACCAAAAGAAAGCCCCATTTGTCCTGAAAAAACGTGGTATAATCCACCTGGATACACATAGTAGTTGTGATGATATGTACAGTTGTACTAGCACATGTCAAAGTTGCCAAATTGTGTTTAGGCATTAAAGCAGTTTTTCACCCTCCCTACCCCTGTAATTTTTAAATTAACCCCTACCTTCACGATGGTGAGATCAACACATTTTAGATACACTGTCCAATGGAGATCCTTCCACTCTTCTGTCAGCACATGCTCCTGTGCCACCATGTTTTGCATTGAAGTCATCGAAACACCCCGCTAGGCCCACTCCCTCCTCTTTTACTGAATGAAAGGCTTTGCCTACCGGGATATATGACAATTGTATCCCGGAAGGCAACGGGAAATAGTGCATGTTGTTCACCTATGCGAATGACGTTCAATGGGGGCAGGGTCAGCCAACTTCATCCCTAATCGTGCAAAGACTGGAGGAGGGATGATGACATGGAGGGTGAAGATCCACATTAACATTTGTTTTATTCTCCATCCTGAAGGAGTTAATCCACTAATCATTGTGACCTAATGAATGGCACCACAACACATCGCGCTTAGTTTCATGTGTTGCCACAATGCAAGGTAAAAAAACACGTTTTACATTTGCTAGTGCAACAAATACTGTAAGTCTGAATAGAGCCTTATGGATCTACACAACATCATTTGACAATTCTTTTTCTCTCATGTTACAGAGGAATCTCCGGAATGATTTTGAATGCAATGGCCGCCAGAAAGAGATGACAGAAAAAGAGATTAAGGACTGGAATAGTAAAAGTCAGCAGTTTAAGGTATGGGATAAGTAAGTAATGTAATCCAGGCTGCCGCTTCATTGTTTGGATCTGAAAGGATATCTATACCCAAGAACAAAAAGGGAACATATTCTAGCCTACCTACTCATACAATACCTGTTGATCCTGCCAAAAATTTTCAATTCTGGTAATTCCCTGTAAATGTGAGATCTCAAAAATGTGATCACCCTTTCCAGCTATATGGGGTCACCATCCATAGAGATGAGAGGGGAAGGTTTCTAGTCCAAACAAGGAGAACAGCCAAGGATGATGATGATCCCCTATAAACGTACAGCAAGTGGCAGGATCTTTGGGTGAAAACAAAGGAAAAAAAGATTAAAAAGAATACTAATTCAGACACCATAGCTAAGGACTTGTAGGCTGCAAAATATTACATTTTCCTTTTTTGGATTAGGCTACGCTTCAAAGAAACCCTGTCACCAGACCATTCATTTTAACAACAAACCTTCCCATAAGATTATACAATATACATAGTTGCCAACATTTTAAAAAACTGTTTTCAGGGACACCTTTTTCTTAATGTGTGTCCAGCAAGACATTGTAGGAGGAGCATATACTTTAATTAGGGTGGGGAATTCATTTATAATGGGCATGATTCTACAAGAAGCATATGGTTAGTCTATTCATTTATTTGTTACAGGCATATACAGTCAGGTCCATAAATATTGGGACATCGGCACAATTCTAACATTTTTGGCTCTATACACCACCACAATGGATTCAAAATGAAACAAACAAGATGTGCTTTAACTGCAGACTGTCAGCTTTAATTTGAGGGCATTTACATCCAAATCAGGTGAACGGTGTAGGAATTAACAACAGTTTGCATATGTGCCTCCCACTTGTTAAGAGACCAAAAGTAATGGGACAGAATAATAATCATAAATCAAACTTTCACTTTTTAATACTTGGTTGCAAATCCTTTGCAGTCAATTACAGCCTGAAGTCTGGAACGCATAGACATCACCAGACGCTGGGTTTCATCCCTGTGATGCTCTGCAGGCCTCTACTGCAACTGTCTTCAGTTCCTGCTTGTTCTTGGGACATTTTCCCTTCAGTTTTGTCTTCAGCAAGTGAAATGCATGTTCAATCGGTTTCAGGTCAGGTGATTGACTTGGCCATTGCATAACATTCACTTCTTTCCCTTAAAAAACTCTTTGGTTGCTTTTACAGTATGCTTCGGGTCATTGTCCATCTGCACTGTGAAGCGGCGTCCAATGAGTTCTGAAGCATTTGGCTGAATATGAGCAGATAATATTGCCCGAGACACTTCAGAATTCATCCTGCTGCTTTTGTCAGCAGTCACATCATCAATAAATACAAGAGAACCAGTTCCATTGGCAGCCATACATGCCCAAGCCATGACACTACCACCACCATGCTTCACTGATGAGGTGGTATGCTTAGGATCATGAGCAGTTCCTTTCCTTCTCCATACTCTTCTCTTCCCATCACTCTGGTACAAGTTGATCTTGGTCTCATCTGTCCATAGGATGTTGTTCCAGAACTGTGAAGGCTTTCTTAGATGTTTGGCAAACTCTAATCTGGCCTTACTGTTTTTGAGTCTCCAATGGTTTCCATCTTGTGGTGAACCCTCTGTATTAACTCTGTGAAGTCTTCTCTTGATTGTTGACTTTGACACACATACACCTATGAAGAGTGTTCTTGATCTGGCCAACTGTTGTGAAGGGTGTTTTCTTCACCAGGGAAAGAATTCTTTGGTCATCCACCACAGTTGTTTTCCATGGTCTTCCGGGTCTTTTGGTGTTGCTGAGCTCACCGGTGCGTTCCTTCTTTTTAAAATGTTCCAAATAGTTGTTTTGGCCACGCCTAATGTTTTTGCTATCTCTCTGATGGGTTTGTTTTGTTTTTTCAGCCTAATGATGGCTTGCTTCAATGTTAGTGACAGCTCTTTGGATCTCATCTTGAGAGTTGACAGCAACAGATTCCAAATGCAAATAGCACACTTGAAATGAACTCTGGACCTTTTATCTGCTCATTGTAATTGGGATAATGAGTTAAATAACAGACACCTGGCCATGGAACAGTTGAGAAGCCAATTGTCCCATTACTTTTGGTCCCTTATAAGTGGGAGGCACATATGCAAACTGTTGTAATTCCTACACCGTTCACCTGATTTGGATGTAAATACCCTCAAATTCAAGCTGACAGTCTGCAGTTAAAGCACATCTTGTTTGTTTCATTTCAAATCCATTGTGGTGGTGTATAGAGCAACAAATGTTAGAATTGTGTCGATGTCCCAATATTATGAACCTGGCTGTATAAAGCTACATAGTTGGTAAGGTTAAATAAAGACACCAGCCCATTCAGTTCAACCTGTGCGGATGTGTGTGTGTTTATGTCAATACCATCTCCCATATCCCTGTATAATACATTCTCTAAGATGCCCATCTAAGTTTTTTTTTAAGCAATTCCTACTGACACCAACAATTGTGAAATTGTCCTACTAAGCCAACAGCTAGCTGACAAAACTGACAGAAGCAGTGTTTTGTTTCATTCCAAAACTGAATTTACTTATGTGAAAATTTCTGTAAAATGGCAGTGCAAATTACAAATGTATACAAAGAACATATTTCTTGCAAACATCTACCTAGAAATCACAGTGAATACATTTAAATGTGATCTATGTATGTATATGGTTTTGACAAGCACAGTAAAAAGAACTTACAGGCATATGTGTAGCAAAGGGAGAAAGGAGGCCTTCACTGGTGTTATTCTAGAAGCTGAATGGCTGCAGTGGTTTAATAGAAAATCTTGTTTTAACAAACATCCTGGTCTTGTTGAAGGGGACTAAAAATAGATGCAGTTTGCATGAATGCTCAATAGATGGCTCCCTGCTCAACACAATGATGATATACAGAACACAAATCATACAATGTAAGGAAATGTAGTACTCAACAGGGGAAAGAGACAGTCCACAATTATACAAGGAGAAGAGAGTCTCTATGTGGGTATTCCAAGGCTATAATCCAGACGCTGTTGCTGTAGAGAGTTAGAAGAGACTTTGAAAAACAAGCATAAAAGCTCCAATCTGAGTGTAGCACAATGGGTTTATTTCTGACAAGCATCAAATTGCACACTTACAAAATAAGATGTATAAACAGACACTCATCAAAGACGGGTGTGTCTGGGTTTGGTGATTGCCAGAATGGTACTTGCCTGACTGCATTGTGCCAAGTGTAATGTTTGGTGGAGGGGGGATTATGGTGTGGGGTTGTTTTTCAGGGGTTGGGCTTGGCCCCTTAGATCCAGTGAAGGGAACTCTTAAGGCGTCAGCATACCAAGACATTTTGGACAATTTCATGCTCCCAACTTTGTGGGAAGAGTTTGGGAATGGCTCCTTCCTGTTCCAACATGACTGCACACCAGTGCACAAAGCAAGGTCCATAAAGACATGGTTGAGCAAGATTGTGGTGATGGAACTTGGCTGGCTGCACAGAGTCCTGACCTCACCCCGATAGAACACCTTTGGGATGAATTAGAGCGGAGACGGTAAGCCAGGCCTTCTCATCCTACATCAGTGCCTGACCTCACAAAATGTGCTTCTGGAAGAATGGTCAAACATTCCCATAGACACACTCCTAAACCTTGTGGACAGCCTTCCCAGAACAGTTAAAGCTGTTATAGCTGCAAAGGGTGGGCCAACTCAATATTGAACCCTACGGACTAAGACTGGGATGCCGTTAAAGTTCATGTGCGTGTAAAGGCAGGCCGACCAATACTTTTGGCAGTATAGTGTATGTGTGCATGCACACATTGGCTTTAATCAGCTTTTTTGGCATGGGCATTCTAGAGGAGTTTTTTTAGCTGTAAAACGCTTGCAAATGTGGTAAAAACGCAACAGACCGGCATTTTTGAGACACATTTTTTTTCTATTTTTGTTGTGCTAAAAATGCTAATGAGGGTAAATGAGGCAAATGCAGCTATACGCTAATGCAAAAATGCTACAAAACGCAGAAAAATTTGCATGTTTAATGTGACTCTATAATGCGAACTCTACCAGCGTTTTCAAAATGCCCAGAGTGCATGTGGCCTAAGACTTTCTCAAGGCAATTTAGATGAAACATGCATAGGGGGTTGAACCTAATGCTGGGAGGTGAGATCTGTGCCTTGCTGTGTTTCCATCTGGGATTCCTGCCTGTGTGTCCAGCAGTGAAGGTTGCACTACTCTGATAGAAGCATTTTAAAAAATAATACAAACATGAAAAAAAATATAATAAAATATACTGTATTGAGAATTAAAAAAAAAAAATAGCTTTAAGGGTTTGTCTTTTTTCTTTTTCCACTTGCAGACCATCTGCTCGCATTGTGTTGGCAAGCAGCGGCTCTGGGCAAAGCGTCATAACCTTACGTTGCTTTCTATTTCAGATTAAGGTGGCGTCTGCTCCCCCCGCTGCTCCCTCACCCAGCGAGAGAAAAGAGAACACCACATTGTGAATAAAAGCACTACATTTTACACACACACGTTAGATTAGCGCATTTAAACCTTTGATCGCCCCTATTAACCCTTTGATCGCCCCATCACCCAGCTAGTGCCATTAGTACAGTGTCAGTATATACAATTTTTCACTGATCGCTGTATTCCTGCCACTAGTGACATCAGATAACATCAGGGTCAATTAGCGCCCCACCCAGCCAGGGTCAGCTAGAGTTATATTGCCCACACACTATCGCACACATGCTATTGGTCGCTGATCACCACCATTACTAGTATAGTGTTTGTACGGATCAATATATTGATCATGAACAGAACTATACGAGTGCCTCCTTTGTATAGTGTCCCCAAAAATGCAGTGTTAGCAGAATTAGCCTTGCTTGCTGCCAGCACTAGCGTTTTGCCCCTTCGCTGTTTTTCACAGAAAATTTGTATAAATTGCCAGGCAATTTATACGAACAACAATACATCACCACCCACCCAAATTCAGCTCTTTCCAGGCAATTCACATGAATACCTATCA